TCCATCCCAGAACGTGATTTGACCCAAGTGGTTCGTTGCACGCCTGCATTCCCATTGCCACGTATTCAGATCAATGCAGATAATACCTTGCCCCTGTGACTATCCAAAGTCAACTATCGTTACTAGATTAAGATGATGTTGTGGGGGCTGAGATCCTGACATATAAGGACGCCTAAAAGCGACTCTCTGATGGAGGTGCCACGCACTAGAGCGAGATAAACAGGTCTGTTCAAAGGTCGGTCGTTAGTCTAGCAGCGAAGGAGGTAGCAACCCTACTTCGCCTAATAGACTGATGTGATCATTCTGCGCGATGAAAGCCGGAGTGTAGTGCACGGGATGTTACCTATGTAACTTTGATGTATTAGCCAGGCAACCATGGTTTCACATCTCAGTGATGCGCCATGGGACAGTCACGAGCTTACATTGTTCTCAGGAAGTGTTTGGAATGGCAGCTTAAAACCTCCGACCAGTAAGCCCGAACCACGAACGATATGAGGCATGCCGGCGACTTGAGCAGGATCAGATTTTCGACCTCTTCGAGCAGACACGAGAAGCTAACCAAAAAAATACCGCATGGTGCAAAGTACATGTTATAGGCCTATCATCATACGTTCACGAAAGATGCCATTCGCTCGTCTAACAGTCCCTTTGCTCTCTCGACGTCATCGATGAGGGATGTGTTATCGGACCACTCCGATAACTCCCGCTGGCGCTTTCCTATTTCTTCGACAACGTCAGCGCCTATACCGCCTGCCGCACTTTCATTAACGGTGTATTTGGCGAAGTCGGGAGTGTTGAACTGAATCAATAGGCCGCTTTCTCTGCTCTTCTTTTGTATGTCCTGCGCAAACGGCCGACGGATCTCGTCATAAACTTGCAGTGCGAGTGGCAGCGTTTCCAGAGTGACCATAGGGTGGGCCAGCATTGAGGCCAATATATAAGCGTCCTTTGTATCACAGCAGAGATCAATGAATTATATCTCGAACATCATAGCATTACTTGCTTCAATCGCTTGTCCGGCTCCAGCTCCCTGAAAAGGTGTCATGGCATGCGCCTCGACGGTTGTTAGCGGAGCTAGAGTTACACAAATAGACCTCGTTCTCACCGCATCCCCAACAAGAGCAACTCTGTCATGCACATGTGTGGGCAATGGCGGAGCCACATGTAACGCCCACAATGAGATGTCTTCCATGCGCTGTTCAACGAGGAAAGTCCAAGAACCTAATCAAGATATCTCGCGGAGTGCCAGTGCGAGTGGTTAACGCACCTCAATGATCGCTTTGACCGCCGGCTCAAAGTGAGAGAATTGCTCGAGAATTTCGTCCTTCGCCGCAGGCGCAACCCATGGGCCGCCGTACTTCGTACCCTCCAAATGAGGATTGCCTATTGCCGCCCCAACGTTAAGTTTAGCTTCATCACCGTTGCCGACAGGATACACAATTAGATGCTGTGGCGGTAATGAATCCATGTTGCGTGCTACGCATGTCTGTTAATCAAACCTTGTTCTTGCCCATATACTGTAGCCGAACATGAGGTTCATGTCGCGTGCATATCAGAAGTTACTCGCCAGCATACTGTCCGTGAGCGCTCTGTGACCGGGAAATTCACGCGCAAATGCAGCCCAAGGAACTAAGCTCCGATAGAGTAAGGTACCTGTCCAGATGGGGTTTGCGCGAGAAAGCAGCATAGCCGCCTCCTCCTGTTGTCCGGCTTGCTGCATGTCAATTGCAAGAGTATTCAACATAGTCGTGCGCACGGTGGATCGAATACCGTCGCAGCCGACCAAACAATCGCAAGTTGCAGTTGTCCCGTCCGTATAGTGGATCTTTATAGCTCCGGTGTCCAATCGGGTGTAGGATGTGAAGCGCTTCAGGAAGTGTACCCGAACAGATGGCGGAAGATTTTTGCACAGTACACCCTGAACATCCGTTCGACGGAATGTGATGAAACCTACATAATTATGTCAGTGATGCATAGCATTTAGAGACATTAGACGTTACTGTTGCTCAAGGTTGTCGAAATGTCAATACCCTCAGCCTGATCCGCCTTACGGTATCGGATGGGTAACCCTATAGTATTTACAAAGTGAGATGGCTTATGAACGACTCTCATTTAAAGAACATACCAAAAATATGAGCATATGGTCTCAGGCCTTCCGCAAGATCAAGCCATTGCAGGATCTCCCATACACGACCGGAAATTCCTATGCCAGCGCCTATCTCTGTGAACTGGGCAGCCGACTCGTACACGTCCACTTCCACGTTTTGCGAGAGTTTATGAAGAGCAACAGCAAAGACAAGCCCTCCTATTCCGGCACCGCTATATAAGACGAAGTCAAACGGAGTATATCGGCAAAATCGAGTTGTCGCTTACATCACTGCGATTCTGATTCTGGGAGCCATGGTGTGTATGAGAATGGACTGTGTCCAACTTCCCAATAGTTCGCAGCGCTCTTTATAATTGATCCATCCATCCATGGGGTGTTCGGTCCCTCAACGGCCGGTCGACTGCGGAATGCGGCCGAAGAGTGGGAATTTGAAAGAGTCCACGACGACCCTTGCAGTTAGATCCTGTACATCTCGATCCCGAAGATAAAAGTGGAATTGCAAAGATCTCTTTCTCATCTTTGCCGCATTGGCACCTACCTGACTAACCTTTCGTGCAACCCATGATCAGCTGCGATAGTGATTGGAAATTTCGAACATGCGCCCTTGACATAACCAGGTCCATCTGGTCTGCGCTCAGTACCGTGGAATTCCAAGAGCGTCACATCTGTGCGCCCGAGTGATAAGCCGAAATCTTTCGGCGGTTTGACAGCCGTGTGAGAATGTGATGAAGAGCAAAAGGGCCCCGAAAAAACACAACGGCGCCAAACTTGAAGTTGGAAGCTGGAAGAAATATGCTAACGGACATTAATGAGCTAAAAAATCCTCAACGTGCTTTGGCTTGTCACGAGCAGCATTCATATTGACTTGATATGCATAGCTCCTGGGTGCGAAAGAACGAAATCTGACTGCGGGGTGCTGTGTAACACGGATCTGTTAATAGAGTCGTCACGCGCAAGTTTGAGAAAATAAGCTAACCAAGAAGAGCGAGACTCCACATAAAACAAGCAGCATTTGATACATGATAATGAGCATAATCCGACTGCCACAGCTGCGTCAAATGCGTTCGCTGCCATGGCCAATTCAGCCCATCGTGGTATACGTAGGGCGCGTTTATCGCAAGTTGCCGAAAATCGATCACGTGAAGTTCAAGTCGACCCCTATTCAGCCACACTATTGACGGGATTTCGAGCCACGCCCTTTGTGTTCAACGTTTGTCGACCATCCTAAGATGCCTCGAAAGACTGCGAAGAGAGCTAGAAGAAGCCCTCCTGAGCGTGATGCTAGAATCTCAAGTGGTGTCTCAAGCACTTCGAGCCCTGGTCAAGTCAAGGTCACCCGTGTGGACGCACTTAAAAGTCGGCAAGCCACAAGAGCGGGAACGCCTCAGAGTTTGCTCAACATGCCGCTGGACATTGTCCTGGAGGCGAGTCCAATCGAGATATCCGAATTTAACATCTTCTTAGCTCCGCGTAGATTTTGACTTATCTCGGCCCGCGAGAACTGCTGCAGCTCGCCAGAACTAACAAGGCTTTCCGCGCAATGCTGATGAGCAGGACGTCGCAGAGTGTCTGGAAGGCTTCCCGTCGCAATGCGAGCGTACCAGAGCGACCTGCGCGGCTCAGCGAGCCCGCGTTCGCTCACTTGTTGTATTCGAACTACTGCCATGTGAGACGGTCTCGAAACCTTCGCGATGGTTTGTTGACAACGTTGACCATTAGATTTGCCTCACGTTACGCAGTGTTCAGCCAATGTGGGAGTATGGAGTACGTTATTGTGGAGATTGCAAGAAAGCTCGGTATGTCCGTGATGTCCCTAACACGCACCTCGAACACCGCTGATAGCATATAGATTTCCTTGCATGGAGAGCACAATTCATGAGGAGTTTGACGGAAAGGCGTTTTCCTTTTTCAACTTCCTAACTGGTATGATTCTGGTCGAAATTGTGACAAGCCAGTTGTTCACTAGGCTATAGTGCGAAGGGGTCCGCGCAAACACCGTGTTTACTACTATCATATTCCCGAAATGGAGTACTTCAGGAGCGCGTGGCACATGTTGGGAGGCGACAAAGACTTACGTAGGAAGTTCATACAGGAGAACACGCAGCTTAGGGAAAAAAAGATCCAGGCAAGTTCGGCATGCAAGCAGGTACTGCTCGGGACTGACATTGCGCGCAGTTTGGCCGCTTCTGCAAACTGTGGGTGGGGGACCAGGCAGTGGCTAGGGCAGAGGAGCTAGATCGCATCAGGGAAAAGCGTCTGAACGCGTGAGCGCCATTCAGGGATCTGGCAATATAATCACTGACATTATGTTTGCAGTATCGTTGAAAAATTGCGAGCCATGGGATACAAAGAGGAGATTGAGTGGATAGCTCGAGACGACTACGCCCCGTTGTCGGAGCATAGGCTCGTTCGAAAGGCTGAGCCGTTGACCGCGCGCGGTATGTTCTTCAATCTTGACCCGAGCTCTAGCACTCAATATTGGCATAGCGTGGAAAGGCATGAAGGAAGAAATCATCGACTTGATGGACGAAGTCAGGGATGAGTGGCTAGATAGACGCAGTCCAGGCATTGAGGAGTCTCGGATAAAGACTCGGAGAGGATGAAAAGAACATTCAAAGTATTTGCAAGAGGGCAGGACAGATCCGGGTGTATGTGACGAACCTGCTACTATCGCATATTTTAGAATTCCCAATCGTCTCATACACTAAGAAATTGAAGGCGAGAAAGGTTCTCAGGCGTACATGCATGGTCTTGCGGCGACCGAATGAGAAGGTGGTACGAAACATTTCGTCAACATTTCAATGATGATCAAACGTTCTTCGTAGACGGGACAAAGACCTTGAGCAATCCAAGCAGTCTGTATCATAAAAAATATAGTCCGGAGGAGACGCGTACACCGGTGGTGAAACGGTATCATGCTTGCCTTCCATCAATATTGTCGGTAGCAAGCGGCACGGGTTCGACTCCCGTTCGGTGTATTTCTTCTTCAAGCGATTGTTCTATTTTCATACCTGACCGTTTTAGCCACTCAGCTGGTTTGTTCCGCCGCATGACTTGGGCCTTGCTCGCCACGGTCTGGTGCCCACTTACCGTTGAACCACTTCCCCGATTCATTGTCTCCGTTTCTTTTTCTTTCTCCCACCACAGCCCCTTCAGCTTCCAATGTTATTCACATCCTTGGACAATGTCCGGAAACCACTACACAAGAGACGTAAATTAGCCACAGACTCTCATTGCCCCTCCGATGCCCATACCCGACTCCCGCTCTCTCCACTTGCTGCCGATACGCGTCCACCATCGACTCGGGGAACCATCTGCTCGTCATGCCACAGGACCTTTCACGCCCGAGCGGGCCATCTCGCCCATTGTGCGCGGTAAGTGTATGACCTCGCCCATCAGCCACACTACCTCGGTCGCGTGCAGCTCATGGCCTCTAACCATTGTCCTTATATTTTGTGTAGTTGCAAAGCACCGATATGCTCCATATGCTCCAGAACATGTACGGGGTCTGTGCCGAGCATCCCGCCGACCCCGGCGCTGACATTCTCCCCGACACCGCCCGCCACTCCTCTTCCGTCGCCTCGGCGCGTCGCTCTCGCGCTCCACACAAACATATCGCACGCAACGGGCGCGACTCCACGTGGGCGCAGGCGGAAGGCGCGAGATGATGATGATGAAGAGCAGCAAGAGAGGGCGGACGCTAGTGCGGATACAGATGCGTCGGCGGGGAGGAGACGGAAGGACGGCATTCTGCCCGGATGTGAGCGGGTCATTTGCAAGAACTGCTGTTTTGAGAACCCTCAGAGGTATGTCTTGGATCTTACATCCCTCTCCTTACCTATAAGAGCGTGCTAATGGTGATTCCTAGTGATTTGACGACATGTTACGACTGCTATGGGCTACCGTACCGCGTGCCGGATCAAGACCAGGAGCGCCTCACCGTTCCGTTTTCAGAACTATGACAAAAGTCAATGCACAGAACTGTTTTCCCAGTTTCAAGTCTCCTACAACCCCAACGTGGTTTTGCTACTATCGGCCCGCCGGAAACCTACACTCATTCGTTTGCATCTCATACAAGTCATATCTCTATTTCCGCGCATTTACCAATGTTATGGCTCACTAAACTCTGCTACTTTTCACTGACAACACACATCACATTACTATGACCGCTGTCTGCTTAACATCCTACTGTCTTATTCATTGTACTATAGTTTACTCTCATACTGACTGTTCAAATGCATACCGTGTTATCCTGAATCATCTAGGATCCTCTTTTTATCGGAGGAACATGCCATGACTCGCGGAATGTCCTAATAGCTCCTTGTCCGTCAGTCGCTTCATACTTGATGTCTAAGCATCCCTCTCCCGCGCATCCTCGCGGCCTGACTTCCCGCTCATCGCCCTATCCAACAGCCCCTCCTGGTGCAAACAGGTCACGAACTTTCTGATGAACGGTTCGTAGTCCCACGTTCGCTTCACATGCTCCGTCTGGACATGTGTCAGCCATCACGCGCCACACTCAGCAAAAAAACTCACATGTACATTCATAGATTTCGCGATTTCTTCCTCGACCGTGACCTTATCCGAAAGCGCAGCCCGCACAGACTCCTCCCATGCGCTGGGCAACCGCCGTGCAGGCATATCGAGAATCTCAAGCTCCCTGTCCATCTTCCGGGCAGCAAAGTCTGACGCGAATACTCGCCCGTACGAGGCCGGCCGGAGCGTCGTGCTGAACGCAGAGTCGGCGGCGGAAAGGAGCGTCGGGTCCACCTTCGCATCATTCATGGATAAGAGAGTCCAGACACAAAATGGACAAAGATGGGGTACCTTGTCCGCCCACCCGTCTGGGAACGCCTCGCCCAGCCGCCTCTCGATAGCCGCGCGCTCGCGCTTGCGCATCTCCAGCGCGTCGCTTGCGGGCCCGTACGGTGCGCGCACGAGCGCGAGGAGGTTGTACCGAATGTCCGCGCGCTCCCCCGCGCCGAGCACCCGCGCCATCTTCATGCGCAGCGCCGGGCGCACGACCGCCATCCAGTCGTCTGTGGACGGCTGGGCGGAGCCCGATGGGCCGGGAGTGGGCTCGAGCGCGCCAACATCGAGCGGTACACGCGCCCGCAGCCCGTCGAGCTCCCAGACGTGCCCGTGCGCGGGGACGTACCCAATGAAGTGGTAGCTGTCGGGCGCGTCCTCGGCTAATGCGGACGCGGGCTTGGGCTTGCGGGGTATGGTAAGCTTGCGTTTCTTTGTTGGAGGCGGCTTTGATAACTGTCTTTTTGAGGATTCCAGTGTCGACTTGGCTGCGGCATGCGTTGCGCCGCGGATATCGGCTGGTCTGTGAGAAGCGCTTAGCGTGGTCGGGTCAAAAACTAGGATTGATACGTACCTTGCGAGGGAGTTGTGAGCTTCTCGCAGGAAATGAGCATTGGTCACGGCCAGGCCTTTCATCTGTTCGAGTCGTCACTACTTCCCTCCTACTGTCCACATTGACATATCGCGCGGAACGAAAACCAATCGATTACACGTACAACTGATGACATATGTTCCGTGTCCGCGCGGAACTCGTCTAAGCGTGGGCCGAGATCAACACCGGGGCAGTTTAGGAGGACATTGAGTAGCGCCAGCGATGCACAAGCGTCGTTGCTGAGCTGGTTCGCGAACCACACCGATCGTGCGTCTGGATCGTCTAGCTCATAGGCTTCGTCATTTGAGCTTTCCTCAGTCTCAGAAGAGATATAACAGAAAATGAGCCCCAGGGGGCGTAAGTGGTCCACAGCCCAAGGTTCAATATCGTAGATTTCGGTTACTTCGAGCCCATGTACGCCGAGCTTTTGAATCAGCGTGGTGAATACACCTACGAATATCAATATTACTTCTTGTCTTGGGATAATTATCACGTACCAGGATCAGACTCAACAACGGCGAAAGGTCCGCCAACGAGGTTGTGCGCAATTTCTTCGCTCATCTTGCAAACGTGTCAACCTGTCGAGACGAACTGATTGTGAGACAACGTTAAGTAAAGTACAGACAATCATCCATCGTACTTCTTCGTGGAATAAGCACGAGTCAAAACTACTCAACGCGACAAGCTGGAAACCGTTCCAGATCCGGGCCAACAGAACAAGTCCGGCGTTTGTTCAGAGAGAAGATAAGGCACGAACTCGAAGCAGAGCAGATAACTTGAATGTCCCCTAGAAGTTAAACCAACAACTAACTACTGGAAACTGCCATGTTTCGAGCGAGAAATCTGGCATACGTCAAGACTAACCTCGTTTCGAGTGAGAAGACTCAGGTGAAAGCCGGATAGTGGCAGGGGCCCGGCCACGCGAGCCACATACCGCGTGACGTCACGGTTCGATCGCGTCTGTGACAAACACGTTGCCAGGCGTCACACGGCGCGCCAGTGGATATGTTCTCTGAGCTTCTGACCCTTTTCATGAATGAACCGAAACAGCTGTAGGGTTTATATGTGCTTATTGTCGGAATGAAAGGCAGACCAAGGCAACCTACACTGATACCGAACAATATGAGTGACACCATATGGCAACTCAATAGCATTTTTTGCTCGAGATGGAGGATGCATGTGGTCTATAACGTTGAACCATCCGACATGGAGCATGCGGAAGAATGATGTATGATCATATAACCTGCTGTCATATGTGGTAAGTACAACCGAAATCCCGTCCTGGTCTGCATGTTTGAATTTCGGCGATTGAAGCAGACGAGTCACTGGCCTGCAGGACGGCTCAATTCCTAACGCCATAGCAAACTGAGCAAAAATCCATGTCCTGATGAATCTATCGTATCCAGTATCGTAACAATGATTCTATACCTGGTGAGTAGTCTTTTCGAATGATTGTAACGCATGCATTCTACCAGTAGGGGCTATGCTCTTTCCATGTACACACGTGTACTTGCGACTGACGACTTTGTTTTCCGAGTCATCACGGAGTAACTATCAGGTACACTGAACAATGGCACGGATCTTACTGTCTATCTACGGTGCTGTTAGCAGGTTTACGCAGCCGAATAATACACGCATCATTCTCTCGTTGTGCTGGTCATATGAAAGTCTAGTTCCCGGTGATCGAAGGGATTAGGCCGCATAACCATGGCATCATGGACGTCCAGCTGTGCCCACATCATGCGCTGAAGATCGGAGCCGGTCAGTGGGTCATGATGTCGAGGGTTTATCCTCTTCGTTGTTCACGACTATGCACCCGCCATTATGTCGTATCTTTGGCTTAACACCTGGCTGTGGATACCCCCCCAACTTGCCATACAAAAGGCATGAGTCCCTGTGTTATACATTACAGCGGCTGTATGCACCATGCAAGGGCTGCGTCTACGACACTTCCGCGACTCTAAGATGTCTATCCTCCATGATCTGTTCAATCTCGCTCTGCCGTTCACTGTAATCGTTCTTGTATACCTGATCAAGTGGCGCTTCGGTCCCTCTCCCCTCAATAATGTCTCTGGCCCACCTACATAGTCTTTTTGGAAGGGTAAGTCCATAAATTTGATGCTAGAAACTGGGAAGATTGATCTGTCGTCAGGGAATTCCGGAAAGATATTCTATCTTGATGGCTGGAACTTCCGCAGAGAGCTCTCCGAGAAATATGAAGCAGCCGCCAAGATCCATGGCTTCTTCAGGGTTCGTTGCAGCAGCATCTCAGGACGGAATTGCACTCATATGCTCATACAATCCAGGATAAACAATTGAGCGTCACTCACCCAACAGCCCTGCATGCGATCCTCATCAAGGACCAGTCCATATACGAAGAGACAGACATTCACCTCGCGTGAGTATCGCCACCATGACCACATGCTTCCTCGTTAAGCAGCAGGGCTAGCTCAGGAAAGCTTCTATTTGGGGATGGTCTGTTGTCAACCCAGGGTATTTCAATGCAATCTCATGTTCGGAATCTGTACAAGTAACTGAAAAGAATACTAGGCGATCATCACAAGAAGCAGCATAAAC